GAACAATGCTTGGAGCAATTCAAGTGAAAAATTTTATTCAGGATTTACCTTACCCGCTAAAAATGATAAAATTAACCAGTCCTATTAATGTTAGAGAGACTGTTAGAGACCAGGTTCCCGCTGTCTTTTTATATTTTGGTCCATAATACATTTCGACCTCGATATTCTTTCGTTTCCAAAGCATTTTGGGGTTGGGAGACGCGCTGTCCCTAATGGCATGTTTGACATCTACGATCTCACGGAAAAATAGGGGACTGTGAACAGTCTATACCAAGATCCTGTTTTGTGGGCGTGGCTTGAAATTTGTTTCCCCTAAGAGGTACCAATTCTAAAACAACACATTATCTCATAATACATATTTTTTTCAGCTCAATATCCTAAAATGTTACAAAAAAGCTCTCGCTGAGGTCCTTTTGAGGCGAAACACCCTAAGAAGTACTAAGACCGCTTTTTTTTTTAACCGTATAAGGTATGACGAGCACCCATGTCCTTGTTACATATGGTAGTCCTCCCGGGGGATCTGCATAGCAGACTAAATATTTCCTGGACTGTTTTTCCGTTTGTACACACATTCTCTATTTGTTCCAGAAACAAAAAGTTTTAGTGAACAACAAAAAAATGTCTTCATGTTTTTTCTTTTATGATCACTTATGGATATCCTGACAAGATCTAGTTTATTGGTTAACTAGTCTAAAAGTTTCTTTAGACTATGGCCCCACTCAAATAAAGAAAATGCTGCTATGCACGAGGTCCATGGACCCTCCCACTCAGTCAATACTTATGTGAAAAAAACCTGCTACCAGCAGTCTGGTCAGTCTTTTCCCCATCAGGGAGGGGGGGGGGATACTCCCAGAAAAGTNGGGGGGGGGGGGGGGGGATACTCCCAGAAAAGTTTGGTGGGGGTGTGTGGCCCACTTCCCAAAACCCTTACTCTATTATAACCAAAATCTGCGATTTTCCCTACCCTATTTATGATCAGACCAAAAATTTGATACCCTAGTTATGACTATTGTGGCCGACACAGTTACTCTAAACATTATTTTTGAAGGGCTTTTGTTGATGGTCTTACCGATAATGATGAAAAAGTAGCTTCCCCTAAAAAACACACCCAATTCAGGACCAGAGTAAAAAAACCATACCCTATTTAAGACCAAAATGGCCAAATTGATACCCCGTTTATGAACAAAATGTCTGAAAAAAACCCAATAGATTTGTTTGATAGCCTGATCCTCAAACTTATATGTACTAATCTTGGATTTTACCATGGCTTGTGTTAACCCTTTTTCAGGGTACGCCCCTGCGTGAGGCATCAGTGTCTTCTTGTTTGCTCTTACTATGGGACATTTGAATGAATTGTTGTCAGTTTCCCCCTACCACCCCAGAATTTGCCATCTTTTGCATACAGTGGAATCCTGATTTCTCAAACCTTCATTTTTGGAACCTCCTGATAACTCGAACCAAATGTTGTTTCCCTCCCCTCAGTCGAACACTGTAACTACCTGATTTTTCAAACCAATTTTCATTTCCCCTAGAGGTTCGAAAAATTAGGATTCTACTGTACATGTATATATGAAGAGTACCTAAAGATTCAATGAAAAACTGTGGTACTGCATGTCATTAATAATAGCTTTCTCCACAGTACAAAATCCTGTATGTTCCAGTTGAGATACCTCTCCACTGGCATGTCTTGTCCCCATTACACAGATGGATCACCATCAGCTGGTTGGCCTGTGTCCAAGTCTTTTGCAGTCTCTTTTGTTCTCTTGGGCACAGTCTTGTACTTGTATGAGGAAGCAATGTACAGAAAAACAACAAAATTGATCACCATTAATCCAGACAACAGGAAGTAGAAATATTCCATGTGTCCATGATTGGGATCTTCACTTGGATACCAATCACTGTTGCTAGCCGCTCTAACTATGATAACAAGAACAATTGCCACATAGCTTCCAAGTGCACTTGTGACAAGAAAAGCACCCATCACCAGTCCTTGAAGACTCTGGGGGGCTTGGGAATAGGCAAACTCAAGTCCTGTGGAGGAGAATGAACAAGGTTAATAAGGGGAGGAGTGGTGCAGTCATGACAGTGCTCACAGTCGCCTCCCACCAACATTGCAGGTTGGATTCCTGAGTTCTGAGTCACATAATTATGTGGGTTAGTTTTGTTGTTGTGGGCAGATGGCAAGGTCAAGGCTTTAGGTGTTTGGTTCTGCACTGATTGTGAAGAAAGTAAGAAGAAGAATTATGAAGAAAAGGTTCATAAGGTAGAGGATATCTTAAATAATTGGAGAAACAAGAGATTAACTTTAATTGGTAAAATCGCAGTTATTAATTAAGGCTCTAGCTGCATCACAATTTGTTTATATTCTGTCATCAACAACGTCGTGTTCAAAATCTCTGAAAGAAACAAACAATCTTCTTTTTAAATTCCTTTGGGATAACGAGGGCAACAAAATTAAGCGGACTGAAATGATAGCAGATTACCAAGATGGAGGACAAAAGATGCTTGACATAATAGAATTTAATAAAGCCTTGAAAATTTCATGGATACTTAAGTATATTTCAAATGACTGCAAATCTAAATGGAAGTGCTTTTTTGATTTTCATTTATTTAAGGTCGGTGCGAAATTAGTTTTTCTTGGTAATTTGGCACCAAAAGATGCCAGAAAACTTTATATAAAAGATGATTTTATCCAAGAACTTATTGAACTGTGGACGGACTTAAATTATAGGGATTCCTTTGTGTCTCAAGCTAATTTCAGTGCTGGTCATAAGTGGAATAACTCGATGATCAGAATTGCAGGTAAGATGATATTTTATAAGCACTGGGCTAATGCAGGAGTGATGCAAATTAATGATCTCATGACAAGTGATTCAAGAATAATATCTTACAGTTGTTTCAAAGATAAGTTTTGTTTTCCACTTTCATTCCTCAAATTTTGTGGAGTAACTTTGGCTATCAGGAGTGTTGCAAGATCTCTGAAATTGACATTGCCTGGTGAAAAAATTTTGGAAAATGTACTGCTTAAGTTAAACTCATCCAAAAACCAAGTCAAGCAGCTTACAAAATCCTTATCAACAAAAAGTGTACTTGCTCAGAGAAAAGCCAAAAGAAATGGATTAGAGACTGTGAACTCATCGATGTGGAAAATTTGGACTGGGAGTTAATTTATCTACTACCTAGGATATGTAGATTAAGCACAAAATTAAGGAACTTCCAGTTCAAATTTCTCCACAGGGGAATAGCTACAAACTCTTTTCTATTTTATAAAATTAAATTTTTGGAATCAAATCTTTGTTGCTTTTGTCAAACAGCACAAGAAACGTTGCTTCATCTTTTCTGGGAATGCCCAATCACAGAAGCCTTCTGGAATAGCGTTCAACAATTTTTCATCTGTGTTGATTTAATACCAGCCTCACAAGTTTTAACTTTATGCCAATGTTTAGGTCTCAAAGGAGGGAAAAGCGCCTTGTTATTCAATCATTGTTTACTACTTGGTAGATTCTACATTACTCTTGTAAGTACAAAAATGTTCGACCATCCTCAATAGAATACATTAATCAGGTTAGATGCAATTTAAAAATGGAAAAGCATGTTTCAATTATAACGGGAACACAAAACACATTCCAACAGAAGTGGCACAAAATACTCCAGTCATTGTAACTCCCTGTTCTCTCCTTTGAACGTTTGTTTAAAAAGGCAATTTAATTGAATAATATTTAGGTTCTCCTTTTCATTTGAACAGCTCTAACTTAGTATTATATGGCCCTATATTTTTTTTGCTCATCTTTGCTTTCATTAATTGTTAGAATAGTGTATTAGTAGCAGTAGTAGTATTGTATCTGTTAGTTGTATTATTATTATTATTATTATTATAATATTTTTTGTCCCTATTATTAATATTGTTGTTATTCTGGATTAACTCCTGTTAAAAAGGTTATTATATTGTTAGTGTTGTAACCAATGCTAACTGGTACTGTAATTTGTAATTTGTAAGTAGTGATAGTGATGTAAGTAACTTAAGTTTTTGTAATAAGTAATAAAGTGTAGTATTGCAAAGAGAAAAAAAAAAAAGCTTTGTTGTTGTTGCTTGTCCTTTGATTTTTCTCCAGTTTGTCTAGTCTGTGTATGAGTCAAATCACCCATTAAGCCAGTGCTTATCCCGGTTTCTGTAGCATGAAGCGACTAGGAGTGTTTCCACTCCTCCCTAGATGGCATGGTAGTCCATCGCAGGGTTACCCCCAGCATTAAGTTTGCCCATACCCATTTATACACCTGGGTGGAGAGAGGCACTGTGAGAGTAAAGTGTCTTACCCGAAAACAGAATGCATTTGTGCCCGGCCAGGGCTCGAGCCCGGACTGCTTGATCTGGAGATGAGCTGTGCACTACCGTCCATAAGATCACAGTGCCTCCCAACTCTATAAACTAACACACTCTAAAATTACAATTTCTGTCCTCAATCAGTAGTCTTTGTAGCTTAACCAGAAGCTTAACACCTCCACAAGACTCCACTATACAATCTTACTCCAATACTATTTTTAATAGTATTGAAAGTGAAGATTTTTCTCTGACCATAAGATTGATCATTCAAATGATCAAATGACAAATATTCAATTTGCAGGTTTTTTGTTTGCTCTAATCTCATTAGTCAGAAAAATTTCCATTCACCAATGATAAACAATAATGTTGGTTTCAGTTGCACTCATTACTAACAGTCTTATTACATTTCACAAAATCAAAGGCTCCTTATCCCAACTCGTGATATTTGAAACATTACATGTGATATGCAAGGCTGATCAAAAAGATTTTGAGGAGTTTGTTTGTTGTGTGATACAGCATAAGTTTAATAACAATCATTTACAATAATCACTTGACTTATTTACATGGATCACTTGGCCTGTTTTGATTGTAATAATTATTATTGATTTTAAAGTGATTAGTTCCAACAAAGAAACTGAATGTGTTACTTATGGTAAATAACTATAACCAACTCAATAATATACACTAAAAAAATTACTCGATTCTGATTGGCTGAGAGCAGTGCAGTTCAAGTGTAACACCAGTGCAAAAAGTGAAACACCAGTGCAAAAAGTGTAACACCAGTGCAAAAAGTGAAACACCAGTGCAAGAAGTGTAACACCAGTGCAAATTACACATTGCAATTCTGGATTATGATTGGCTGAAAGACAATAGGAAATTTTCTAAGCCAATGATATCACATAAAATGATGACGAAAATTTTGTGCAGAAACTTTAAAAAAAGTTTTCTGGAATGAGAAAATGGCTTCAAGAAAGATCTTCCAGCACTTCCTCCAAGCAATTTTTTTCATGTTTATATTATTAAAGGAGAAGGTCACTCCAGAAAACATATATTTTTTTGTCAATGCTGATAAAAACCTTACACTAAGTTAAGCCACCCACCAAAGTTTCAGGCTCTATAGTGCAGGTTTTCCTTGTGAAATTCATCTCCAAAAAAGCCCAAAATTCAAACATTGGTACCGCCATTTTGAGCAGTACTCAGCAGCCAGGCCCCGTTTTCGTGATGTCATTCTGCCCGAGAGATTTTGTCTAAATGACTTCCAACAAACCTTTTAACTACCACTCTGGGTTATGGCTGCTCTTGAGCCATTTTATTTGAGCCACACATGTTCGAAACTCTGAAATGAAAGCATTTAAGATAATGAAGTGTATAATTACTTGGAAAAAATAGATTCTGCTGACTTTGTGAAGGATGCCAAGTCAGTTGCAGGTTTTTTCTCTTTCCCACCAGTTTCAAGTTGGACAGAATGATGTCACATAAACACCGCTTGGCTGACAAGACTGTTTCAAAATGGCTGCCTCTGAAGTCGCTTCTTTTGAGACGAGTTTCTTCAGGATAGCAGGCACTTCAGAGGCTTAATATAGCTACATGTAACTGTGAGTTTATACAATTAATGGTTTTGGTCATGAATAATTTCTCAGTTGCAAGTTAGCAAAGTGGTAAGATTTCAGCCAGCTAATCTGAAGATGACAGCCAGTGCGAGGGTCACTGGTTTGAACCTTGTGATTGTAGCATAATGATAGATTTACTATGTGCAATTATCTACTGCAGTTACACAATGTCAAAAGAAAACAGAAAAAAATCATTTAAATTTATCATTAATGTTGTAAAGTAAGAGATTTGCTTACCTGTGATAACCATAAGGACCTCACTGGATCCAACTAACATAAACTGTGGGATTTGCCAAAAAACATTTACACTTGAAGCATTGCGGCTTTCGTCAAACACTGTTTGTATACAAAACCCGCCATCTATCCATGTATTCCTTCGTTGTATCTCAACCACTCCAGCCACAATGACAGATGCAGATGCTAACAGCATTCCAACACCGATACGCCGCAGAGGAGTAAAACTAATGCCACAGTAGCTAACAAGAGGATAAACAACATGATCCATAATGGGAATCAACACAAGCACAGCAACGATATCGAAAAGTGACAAGGATGCCGCTGGAATTGTAAAGTTGTGAAATTCTAGTCTCATGAAGGTTGCTTGAATGAGGAATGTTGTCTGCATCTGCAACAACAAGAATAACAAATAAACAACAACAACAACAATAACAATAAAACAGCCCAACCATCACAAAAGAAGTGATGAAAGTGAAGTATGATCATCGCAGTAAATTTTCCAATTTAAGCAACTGGAAAGAAGAGGCCTGAAAAAAAATCAGGGCTTCAACGGGATTCGAACCCGTGACCTCCGCGATACCGGTGCGATGCTCTACCAACTGAGCTATGAAGCCACACATTGG